TCAAAAAATAGAAAAATATTGCCTAACCAAAAAAATAAAAAAAAAAAAAAAAAAAAAATATATATATATATATATATATATATATATATATATATAAATTATTGTATATTCATAATACAAAAAAAAGACTACTGATAATAACAATTTATTACATTATATAAAACTAGAGCCAAAAATAAAAATATATAACTCTTACCAAATATATAAAATTATAATAAATGCTTTAGATAGTTAGTTACAATATACTATATACTAAACTGAACTAGTGAATAAAAAACATAAAATATATATATACAAGAAAAATATATACATAATGTAATAATAATAAATATATTTAATAAGGTTGCTCAGTTTTAATATTTATACTATGATTTATATTATTCGTTCTAGAAATACTACATAGAGATTGACTACTATGTTTACTTTCTTTTGTACTATTATGAACAGTATTCTTTCGAATTCTCTTCATTTTTTGAGTTTTTTTGCTTTTATTATTTTGATTAAGTTCATTTATATCAATAGCTTCATCTTGGTAAAAATTATCATCATTTATATTATTTAAAGATTGATAAATACTTTTGCTGCTATTCTTGCTATTGCTAACAGTACTCTTTTTTGTCTATTTTTTTTTGAATTTCTTCGCTTTTATCATTTTGATCAAATATATTCATATCAATAGTTTTATTATAATAAAAATCATTATTATTAAACCTATTCAAAGCATCTGCAAATTTACTAGAGTATTCAAATTTTTATAATTTGATAAAAAAATATTTTTTAAATGTAAATTGAACTCAGATTCTTTATTTGATTCATTCATTGAAGTAAAAAATATTGTCTTAGTTTTGAAAGATTTTTTCAAATCTTTTGATAAATAGAAAAAAGTTTTGACCAGATAGTATTAATTGCTTCAGATGAATTACTATTATCGAGCATTTTTTGTTTAGAAGATAATTGAGAATCAATAAAGTTAATATTTTTTACATAAACACAAAAATTATTTTCAATAATCTCTAACTGCCCAACAACAAAAATAAGTGATATTTGCTGATGAATCATAGTCTTTAAATGTGAAAATTATGAATTCAAATGCAGAAAAACAACCTTAATAATAAAATTATGCTTCTGACTAGTATAATCATTTATCAATATATCAAAAATAGCATCAATAACTATAGTGACTCTTGAGAAAATTCCACTAGAGAAACTTTTAATAGACATTTATTTAACTTGGCAACTTTGTTAAGAATAGATATTTTGTTAAACTAGAAACTTTTATCTAAAATTAAACAAAAGATAAATATAGTAATATCAAAAATAATTAAATACTGACAAATATCTTTGATATTTTATTGCTTCTATAATAGCTAGGTACCATTTTTTTTTTATAGAGTGAGGCCTAGTCTTGGTTTTTATTGAATAATTTATGTATTACATTAATATAATAAGTTGCATAAATTACTACAGAGATTTATAGCTAGAGCCAGTATTCGAAATTGGTGTTCTCAGAGGTCTCATGAAAACACTATTATAAATTTGTGTACAGTATAAATTTTTTACTGTTCACTATGAAGAGTTTTTTGAGAACAGTAAAAAAATAATAGTGTTCTCATAAGTATAATAAGAATAATAAGCAAATTCTCCTTTGCCAATTTTTTTAATATCAACTAGCCCATCAAATGAAATCCACTCAATCATACCTTCATACGTATATGTTCTAAGTTGTAA